TTTTAACATTTGTGAAGTGTTCTTCATATAATTTCTCTTAATTAAAACAAGTTCACGCCCTCTTAGCTTTCCAACTGGCCTCCCTCCCTGTTACCTTTTTCCAGCTACCCTAATCTGTTTTAAATGTTTTAATTAGATTAATATCCATAAAGTACTGTTACTTCATTCAGAAACTTAAATGAGTGTCTCCTTACTATCTATTGAGTCAAGTTGAAGTTCCCTGTTCAGCTCTGAACACCTGGTACTTTGTGGTCTGCAGAATTACTGCTTTGTATGCATGCCCAGTGTTGTTGCATACAGTCCCTCCTGCATCTGCCAATTCTATCACTGTTCACTTCTTGCAGCCCAGCTCAGAAAAGTTCTCTTTCGTGAAACCTTCTCTGATAGACAGTACCTGAAGTGAATTCTTTTCCCCCTGGGGACAGAAAGCATCTTGCTCCTGTCTTCCTTATGGCATGTAATACATTATACATTCTCTTGAATTATATTTATTGGGTACATATATATTCTTCTGTTTTCCTTATTAGATTATTATCTTTTCAGGACAGGAGCCTATTTTCCTTTCTACTACAATTGGACATCAAAATAAGTGTTTTTGGAATTAATAGGAGAGGTCACTTGGTTAAGTTGGGATCCCCCCCCCCCATCTCACCACATTTAGAAGAGCTCTAGAAGAAACCAGAATTTTACAATCCTGGAAAATCCAAAGGCTTCAGCAGGTATGGCAGTGAGAGTTCTTAAAGAGGAAATGTTACTTTCTACATTCCTCTATCTTGTCTTGGCTGTACTCTGTTCAGAGAGATAGCATGGTTTGCTTTGTACTCAGCCTTGCTGTTCCACCATTGTGCATGAATATTTTGCTTAGGTATAGTGGTGCTTCTAACGTATTCACTTAGCTCCTCAGGGAATAAAATGCTACCCCAAGGGCATGGACATCTCTGCTTCTGCTCTGAGATTTTTTTTCTTCTCTGGTTTCTGTACAGTGGGTACCTCCTTCACCTCCTTTTCCACCAGCATCTGCCATAGGGGACTCTGTGGCTCAAGCAGTAACAGCCAAGAGATGCTCTCATTGCCCACTTCCTGTAGACAAGGAGTTTTGGGTGCGGTGGTGAGGAACTGTGCCAGCCCTGCATCTGACTGGTGACTGACTCATTTGAAAAGCAGCCTTATGTCTGAAAGATAAGAGCCAACAGGTGGCCTCCAGGTGGTGTTGGTTTGGAAGTGACTGACCATTCATTTCCTGTCTTTGAGAGGAGATGGTGGGAAGGGAATTGGTGAGTAAGTGGTCTTGCCTGCATTTTTCTCCAGCTATTAGTGAAGCAGCCATGCAGATAGTTTTTTATGTTAGAATGGCTAGTAGACCCTGGTGTTCTCAGAATCCCTCCCATTGCTGTCAGGATACCAGAATTAATGTGTCATTCATCCCTGTCTTCCCTTCATTATTTTTCTCATCCTTTTGCCAGGGAGCTGGCTGTGTACATCAAGAGAACTCTACTAGTTCCATTGCTGCCAGATTTTTCTGTGACCATCTAAATACCATCCCACTGGCATGGATTTTTTCCAGATCTCTCGCAAAAAGTGGTACCCTGTCTCAGGAATTGATCAGAAGCAGTGGTTCTGAATCACTGTCCCTTGGCTGGGCTTAGAAGTCCAGGCAGGTAACCCTGCCTTCCTTCCCCTCCCCTCCTCCCTTTTTACCCCTCCTGCCTCACTCCCATTTCCTGCAGGAGGATGCTTTGCCATCCTGGAGCCATCATGCACAGCTTTGCTTTGGCAGCACCATTGCACACACACTGGTGGGAGAGGGGACGTGTTTATCACTTTTCCTGGAGATTATCTGTTTAAGCACTTCTCTGACAGTTACAATAACAAGGGCAGTGTGTTGTGTTTCCCAGCAGAAGGACACTTGCTGTTGAAAGATGTATAGCACTAATTAGAAATACATAACATCCGGCCACATGGCAGCCTTCTCCTGGCCGCTCCATTTCCTGATTTCATACAACTTTGACGACAGTTGGTTTATGTTTTCCATGAATATGTTCTCAGGAAAATGAGAAAGTCTCCCTGTTACATAGGAATGAGAATATTTCTGCTTGAGCAGGTATTTGGCCACAGAAGTACTGGGAGCTGTGGTCACTTGCCCACAGGCAAAACCAAGTTCCCTCAGGTGACTTTCTTAGTAAGAAATATTTCTGTCTGACTTCCTTAGCCAAAACCATCCGCTGAAACCCTTGAGCAAGCCTGCTTTTGGAAAGAAGGGGAAAGGCTATTTCACAATGTTAATGATTTCCTCAGCTCATGTCAGGCTCCTGCTATCTGACAAAAAGCCAGAGGAACCTAGGCAAATACCAAGGCAAACAATGCCTTTTCCTCCCCACCCCACATCATTTGTTGGCCTGGTCCAGCCCAACTCCAGGGTGTTCATCAGACTAGGGTCCGTTTCTTAAGTCTAGCCCCAAAGTGGATGGACTCCGGGAATCTAGGTCCTGTTTTCCCACTCATTTATATAAGGGTAAACATACTCAAGGAGAGGTATCTTATGGCCTATAGAAGCCTATGTGAGACTAAGAGCATGAGCGTCCTTTGGAGATACCAGCAGGTAACATGATATTTCATTTCATGCACTGGGTTCAAGTTGCCATGGTTGCTTGAGTAAATGATGATTTTTCTTCAGCCTATTGAAAGGCTCTCCAGTTGCAGAAACCATGATTTATTTGTAGCTATATTCTTTACAATATCTAGCACTCACAGATACTCAGTATACATTCTCATACCAACAAGTCATGGAGCAGAACAGGCCTTCTAGAAAGTGCTAACCATGAAGAGCAGTTATGAAGGTGGCTTCTAGTTGCTGCTCTTGCTACCCTACCTGGTACCATACCTTATAAGAGCCAACCTGAACTCCCCAGAGGCCTCAAATACCATTGCCCTTAAGCAGTTCATTCTCCCCCTTGAGCTTGAGCCCTAGTCCCTCATCTTGAACTCTGAGAGACAGTCTAGTCTGAGATTACTGTTTGTCATAAGAATAGAAACAGACTTGATGAGAGTAATTTCCCTCTGGCAGATCTTACTGTTATCCAGGCTGTTGAGAGTGTCTTGCCATATCCAATCTCTTGGAGCAAAGACATGCACCTCATCCCTTCTATCCTTCTGTGTGCAGGTAACTTCTGCCTAAGCTACCCAGTTGAATGAAGGGTCACTAATGTTTACTCAGCCTGTCAACTACCAGGATGTAGCCTCCACTCAGTATATCCCATCTTCCTCTTTCCTGGACTTAATTCCTTCATTCTAGGCTTTGCTGCTAATTAGAGGCTGGCTGCTAGCAGTGTTTGGCAGGGGTCTGGATCAAGCTGGAATGGAACGGACAGTAATGCTGCCTATGGCAGGGAGAAGGAGAGAAGTTGGCAAACTTAAGTGTCTTCCTTTCCCTGCTCGTATCCTCCTTCATTCTTGAATACTTGTTTTCTTTTTGTTTAGCAGAGGTTTATGGCCTTACCTGGAGAAGACTGAGTGTTGTGATCTATTCTAATTCATAAATTGTTAATCACTTCCTTACAGCCTACCACACTTGGAGAGTGAGAGGGTAACATTTTGTACCAGTGGGTATTTGGAAGGATGGCTAGAAAGCCACATGGAAGTATTGGTCCACATGTTGGGCCCTTTGGAGTAGCATTCTGTTCTTTAATTCCGGGACTTTGAAAGCAGTTTGGGGCAGGCTTTGTGTGCTCCAGTCATACAAAGACTGTTAGGAATAGCTGTGGTTGTATAGCATCTCCTGGAGTAACAACTTTAAGCCCTTTGACAAGACTAGCAGGCTGACAGAGAGAGGTTAAAATGCAGGCAGGGACTGAGATCAAAGCTGTGGCTAATTATACTTTTAACACTTGGAGATTCTGAGCTCTCCTATGTTACAGAGGGAATTAACAGATTAGCTGCTGCCAGAGCTAGTGAGCTGTGGCCTCTGTGTCTATCTCCTGTAGGTATTGGATGTCCCCTCTCCTGAGGCTGCAGGTTGAAGTGCTGCCTTCTCTTTTCACCAGATCCTCTCCAGTCTGTATGAAATGTTATTGAGGAGGGCACTGACAATGAGTAGATATAGAGATAGGAATATGAGAATGTGTTACCCAGCTCCCACCAAAGACTTGCTCTGCCTACCAACAGAATCACTCCTTTCAGTGAGTGACCTGCGGCCAGAAAGAAGTTAGCCAGGCTGAAAAGTAAGGGAAAGAGAGTGCTGGTATTAGGAACCAGATTTGTTTTTTAGCCATAGGAGAACATAAAAATAAAAGCACTGAATAAGTAAGTACATAATATGTGCCAAGCACTGTTATATGTAAAATTAACTCATTCAGTAAAAAATAGGTTCATTATGTCATGTGTATTGTCTTAGAAGGAGGAATATAGAGGAGGAAGACATGGAACCAGAAGTTGGTGATTTAGAAGATTTCCTCTTCTTCCTCCTCTTCCTCTTCCTCCTCTTCTTCCTCTTTCTCATCTTCTTCTTCTCCTTCTCTTCCTCTTCCTCTTCTCCCACTTTCTACTCTTTCTTCCTCCTCCAACTTTTTTCTAGAAGATAATTTTTAAATCTGGTGGTTGTGCTCCTGCTGGCTGTACATTAAAAGAGACCAGGCTCATGAGCTAAATTCTGGTTACTGTACCTTTACATTATCAGTAGCCAACTGAAGGCAGAGATCCTGCAGCTCCAGCTCACATTACCCACCTTGAATTAATGGGTCCTGGGAAGATATTCCAAAACTTACACAGGTGATGCTTATGGACATTGCCAAGTGCTTGTCCATATGCTGGGGATGCTGGTAAATACTTCACTTATATTATCTTCTTTTGCCTTGTAATCCCACTTTGAGAGAGGGAATATTACTACCCATAGTGAAATAAGGAAAAAGAAGTTTGGAAACATGGCCAGGAACCATCTGTCCTAAGGTACAGAAGTAGCCCTCAGCCTCCAGGTCACTGATCAGGGTTCCTTTGCCTCTCCACAGACTGCTTTTCAGAGGAGTGTCGCTCTGTGATCCAGGAGCAAGCTGCAGCCCTCGGCCTTGCCATGTTTTCTCTCCTGGTGCGGCGCTGCACCTGCCTACTTAAGGAGTCTGCCAAAGGTAAGCAAGAGGGGCTCTTAGCTGGCATGCTTTCCACCTGTTCAGCCTTGTCCAGGAGGAGCCTCAGAGTGCTGGGCTGCCTTCCTCTACTTTCCAGTCTTCTGCCTCCTGATATCCACCTCTTCCTTTGCCACCTTAACTACTCCCATCTTTGCAGTCTGATGATGTCTCAGGCCCTCTGAGAAGGAGGGATCAGTTCCCTCCATCTTTTCTCTTTTAGTAGCTAGGACCTGTACTTCAGAGCTGTTTGTTTGTTTGTTTGCCTTTTTTCCTTTTTTTTTGGTGGTACTTGATCATTTTGTTCATAATTGATGTTTTGTTTTATCGTCTTTATTTCTGTGTCCCTCTTCAATATCTGGTGGGTGCTCTAACCGATGTGGGTTAGCCATCTTGGGAGGCTCACTGCACCAGAGCAAGCACTATTTTTAGCCCTTGGGTTGAGGTTTTATATCATATCCTTTAAGATGCCCTTAGAATGCTAGCCTAATTGTTATAGCTGTGTAAGATAGGGCTGAAGGTCATACCATCTGCTTCTCTTCTATATCAGTACTGGTAAGTAGTGAGACCCCTCCATCACCCCAGCACACTAGCTTTGTGAATGCTTCCAGCCTCTGGGGCTTTTGTTCAGGGCCAGGGAGGAGCAACTTTTTATTTTGAAAACAGTTTCAGATTTACAGAATAATTGGGAGAATTATGCAAATAACTTTTATATACCCGTCATCTAAACTTTCCACAGTAGTTAACATTTTTCCGCATGGCTTTAAGTTCTCCCTTTACATACACACACACACACACACACACACACACACACACACACACACACACCGTTGTAGTCCTGAACCATTTAATTTTAAGTTGCAGACATGATACTCTTTAAAATACTTGACTCTGTTTTTTTTTTTTTTTTTGGTACCGGGGATTGAACTCGAGTCCTTACACTTGCGAGGCAGGCAGCGGAACCACTGAGCTAAATCCCTGGCCCTTGACTCTGTATTTTATAATGAGTTCATTCTCTTAATAATTATCAGAATTAGGAAATTAACATTGATATAGTACTATTATTGAATCTACAGGCAGTATTCAATTTGAATCAGTTATGTTGGCTGATTGATTGTACTGAGGATTGAACCCAGGGCTTTGCACTGAACTACATCCCCAGCCCCTTTTTACTTTTTCATTCTGAGACAGTCTTGCTAAGTTGTCCAGGTTGGGCTTGAATTTGCAGTCTTCTTGCCTCAGCCTCCCAGAGTGCTCAGATAACAGACATGCATTACTACACCTGGCTCTCATAAAAATCCTCGCCCACTCCTTCTGTGTAGTGCTGAGGATTGGACCCAAGGCCTCATGCATACTAGGCAAGCACTCTACTAGTGAGCTATACTTCCAGTCCTATCTAATAATATTCCTTATAAAAAACAAAAAAGCTTATTGTTTTTTTCTGCTCTAGGATCCAATTTAAGATCAGACATTGCATTTAGATGCCATATATCTTTAGTCTCCTTTAATCTGGAATGATTTCTCCATTTTTCTTTGTCCTTTACTACCTTGACATTTTTGAGAGTACAAGCTATTTATTTTGTAAAATGTTCCATAATTTGGGTTTCTCTGGTCTTCCTTTGTGATTTAATTTAGGCAGGAACTCTTGTCGAAGGACAGCTAAAAGGGTGGGCTATAGGCCAGAGTAGACACTTCAGCCAGGCTGCAGGTAAAGCAGAAATGCCATCTCCATGGGCAGACCCAGTGCACTGGTTCTCTCTTTGTCCTGCTTTTCAGAATCCTCTTAGTTGCTGGCACTTGTCCTCGCTTCTGGGCCCAGCTTTCCTGTGGACTTGGTCTCCCTTCCCTAAGAGCTTGCTGCCGTCCCAGCGCCCCAGGCCTCACTCGGGGGCCACAACAGACATAGGCCCAGTTCTCACCCTTTGCCTCTGCAGCTCAGCAGTCCTCTCCTGAGGACCAGGATGACCAAGATGACATCAGGGTGTCTTCCTTCATCCCAGACCTGAAGGAACTGCTCCCCAGTGTGAAAGTATGGTCAGACTGGATGCTCGGCTACCCGAACACCTGGAATCCTCCACCCACATCTCTGGATCTGCCCTCACAGTGAGTTGGCCTGCCTGTTTCAACCTTGGCCTATCTGTACTCCTGCAACTCCTTTCCCTATCCTGTTCTTCTCTTCCTCCTACCCACAGCCTACACATTTCCCTGTTCCCTCCTCATTTGAATTTAGGTTTTCCCTTCTTTGAACACCTTTGTCGTCTGATGTTTTACATTATTTTGGCCTACTTGCCAGTCCGATGCTCCTTGAGCTCTGTCTTTCCCTTTCTCTACAGTTTGCTGTCTGTTGTGTTCTTTGTCTTGTTCTTGCTGTTGTCATTCTTTGTTTATGTTCTTCATATTCACAACTCTGCAGCTGCCTCTGAAGTCTGGATGTTTGTCAATGAGCATGTGAGAGACTTTGTCTCTTTATCACCCTGTTAGTTTTTCTCTGTATCTCTCAGTGGTCTCACTTCTGCTTGTGCTATTTTCTGTAGTTGATCTCCTTGCCTCCTCTCATGACATTTAGTGTGTAAAAGGATGAGTGTGTGCACATCTCTCCTCATTCACTCATTCCCTATCTCCTTACTTGTCCCTGCCCCTGCCTCCTCCATCAGTCAGTGTTCATTAGGGAAGGATATGTTGGTCTAAAAGTTTGTGCATCTGCCTGGATGATCTATGTAGATCTGTTTGTATGACTTTTTTTGTTCTTAAGTGGTGGTAAATCATAACCAAATTTGCCATCCTATTTTTATGTTTATAATTCAGTGGCATAAATTACATACACAGTGTAGTGCAACCAGGTGTGGCTGTTTCTTGGTCTGGGTCTGGGTTGTGTCTGACCCTGTCTTTCTGGATCCATTGTCTGTGTGTGTCTGTGAGCCTTTGTGTCTTACTTTCTATCTGTGCTGAGTGTGAAGGTCTGTGTGTTTATATCTCTGCAGGATTCTCTATTCAGAGACCTTTCAGTGTGCCTGTCTATGGCTGTTTGTGTACAAGATGTGATCAGAATATATAGGGCTGGGATGTAGCTCAGCGGCCCAGCACCTGGCTGGCAAGTGCAAGGCCCTGAGCTCAATTCACAGTACCAAAAAAAAGATTATACAGTGAATGTTTAAATTTTTAAAAATTATATTACAAGAGAAGACATGTTGCCCTCAAAATATTCCCTCTCTCTTTGAACACAGCGCGTCATTCTTGCCACTTTATGAAGTAGTTCTAGAAGTCCTCCTTTGTCTTTCGAGTATCTTTAAGAGGTATGATAAAAAAAAAAGATACATTGAATCCTGCTACTGAGTCCCATCCAGCTGAAAGACAGGCTTGTGAAAACATTACAGTGGGTATTCACCTTATTCGCTGGATCTAGCACTGTGTGTGACCTTTGGTTCTTCCCCAAAGTCAAAACAACTATGAAAGGTAAAAGTTTTAAATCAATTCAGAATGTTGAGGCAGCCATGACAGTGCAATTAAAGATACTCACAAAAAGAGGACTTTATGTCTTTAGTGTTTAAAAAAAAAAATTCCCCTTATTTTCTGATCATGCCTCATGTATGTGTCCACGTAGTCCATCTGTAGCCACATGTTTTGTATCCATTTGTGGGGCTGGGGATTTAGCTCATTGGTTCCGCCGCCTGTCTTGTATCCATTTGTGTTACAGCCATATCTGGGTCTATGCCCATTTGCTTCTATGTCTTGTATATCTCTGTGTATTCTGTCTCTCTGTGAGATTCATGTCTCCCCATAGAGCTCTGTTTCAATGTCTGGGTCTATGTCAGTCTGTGTGTGTCTTTGATCCCATCCATGTCTATGTGTTGACTATTTCTTGTGAGAATGTAATATTTGAGTATGCTCCTGAGTGTTTGTGTCTGTATCCGTGTTTGTCAGTAATCATGTTGGTTCCTGTATGTGTTGGTTTGATTGTCTCTGTGTCAGTCTGGGTCTGTCTTCAAGGAGGATTCTGTGAATATGAGCTTGCCTGTCTGCCTGCCTGTGTTGTCTGCCTTCACTGGGTATTTGTTTGTCTATATCGGGGCTCAATAAACTATAGCCCACTAGCTAAGAATGGTATAAGTTTTTAAATGGTTTAGAAAGATCAAAAGAATACTATTCCATGACTTCTGAAAATTATACAAAAGTCAGATTTTAATGTCTGTAATGTTATATGGGAACACAGGCATGCTTATTTGTTTACAGTTGGTCTATGGCTGGTTTCACACTAGAATGGCAGAGTTGAGAAGTTGCCACAGAGACCATATGACCTTCAAAGCCTAAAATATTGACTCATCTATTAGTTACAGAAAAGGCTTGCTGACTTCTGATCGTGCATCCCATTTGCTCTGTGTGTTCAGTTTGTGCTATAGTGTCTATACATATGTGCACATAGGGTCTATCTCTGTTAACTGTGCTGACTATCCATCTCTCTTCCTCCTATTCCTTTTCTCTCATCTCTACCTCTCTGTCACTGCCTTTCTCCCCACCCTGCCCCTTCTGTTTCTCCTTTCTCTCTCTCTTCTTCCTGCACACATGCTCTGCTTTGTAGTCTTTGATAAATATGTCCACTGAAAGTTTCTTCAGGTTCAGTGTAGAGTGTACATGGTGTTTCAGAGCAAGCATTCATGCCCAATACCTCATCATTCATCTTGAAGGCGCTTCTCTGGAAGCAGGAAAATACTGGAAGATAAAGTGTGGAGACCTTGGTGCTGCTAGAGAGTGAGGAGGGGAGTTTTTCTGGTTTAGTGACCAACTGTGTATATCTCCTAGACTCATGAGTGATCCACAGAGGAAATGCTGCGGCAGAGATTTCTGGTCAGAGTTATTGATCTTTCTATGTGGGCTATGTAGTCTTGATTCTTCCCCCCTCTTCCACCCCAAGGGTTACTCTTAGACTGTTATTCCCACTCACACTGGTTCTAGCTCTATAACTGTGTGGACAGTGCCCACAGCTTTGGACAGTTGCATTCTTCCTGTGAGCCCCCTCTAGTTTTCCAAAATGCACTCCAAGCTGAGGCCTCATAAGGTGGGATTGAGTACTTGAGTTGGGCAACTGGAGCTATGCAGAGGAACTGAGAGACCTGCTGGCCAGGGGCCATTTGTTTCCCAGCAGTGATCTCCAAAGAGTTAGCATGTACAGCCTTAGGCTTTCCAAGTTATTAATCTGTAATATGGACTAGGCAGTTATAATTTTGGAAAGAAAATACTAGGAAGGGGTTCTGCTTTCCAAGTAGCTAAGACACTGCTTCTGAGTATGTGCAGGAGCCACTGAGTAGTCCCTCCTTCCTCTTAGGGATAGGGAAGCAGAACATCTATCCCTGGAGCTTGGCCCTTCTTGGGTCACCTCACCTCACAGCCACAGGTTCCTCAGATATGATCCACCCATATGCTGGGCCATCAGGTCTGTTAATTCTTCTGCAGCACTTCTCCCTTCATCTCTCCTCCCTTTCTTGCTCCTTTTGGCTTTTGGAAATGAAAAGCTGGAAATGGGAAGCTCACACAGGAAGTGCTGGGCCTCATTTGCTTGAGGTGCTGAGTCTGTTTTCCCTTTGGATGCTGCAGCAAATGGCTTGTTGCCAGCTCTGTGAGCTGCTGCCCATCTTTGGGCAAGGGCTCAATCTGCAGCTGGGCACGTGGTCCAAGCTACAGCCATCCCTAGCTGGGCTAAGAGGGGGTTGGGACACTTGAACATATTTGCTTTGTCTTTTCAGGCTTTTCTTCACAGGGAAAACAAACCTGACCCAATAATATATTGACTCTAATTGTCCAGTAAATTAGTTTGTGTGACCATAGATACCACTTACTCTCTTATGAATCCAGGCTGGACATAAGAAATCAGTGTGATCAAGAATTAGGTCCCCTGTTCTGGGGATTTAGCTCAGTGGTTTTGCCACATGCTGTGCAAGCGCAAGGACCCAAGTTCGATCCCCCGGTACCAAACAAACAAACAAAAAAAGAATTAGGTCCCCTTCTAGACTGTCTCTGCAGTCAGATCAGCAGCTGGCTGTCTCTGGAATGCAAGTTTAAGTATAAGGGAGGGGCTCTGCTGCCTCTGGGTGAGACCTCAAGGCATGGTTGTTTTTGTTTTTGTTTTTGGTACCTGGGATCCAACTGGGTCCTTGCGCTTTCAAGGCAGGCAGCAGAACCACTGAGCTAAATCCCCGGCAAGGCATGGTTTTTAAAAGAATATTGCCACTATTCAGCAGAACAAACCTAATCTGACTTCCACTGAAGGCAATCCCACTTCATAGCCTTCAAATCTGACCATTGGAAAAGTGGAATACACATTTTACCTTCCTGCTTTCTAGTTACTTGTATTATAACCAGCTCTCTATATTCTCCAAAAGTAAATACCATGGCTGAAAGATTGTCAAGTTGTGGTGGTTCTGTGGATTTCAAATGTGCATTTGTACCCACTAATCTTCCATATGGGAGCACTTTTTCTTTTAAGGACATAGGGAATGATATACCCTCAGTAGTTTTGTAGATGTTAGAATTGTAAACACCCGACACTTAGAGGGTCCTTGTCATGATACTCATTGTGAAGGGTTTAGGAATATCCTTAAGGTAGTAGAAAGGAAATGGCTTCCACTTAATGCCTCTCCTTTGCATGTTTTCATTGGTCCTTGCCTGCATTTGTTCTCTGTATGGTTAGAGGATCATTGCACAGCATCCTCCACTTTCCTAGAGGAATTCCAGAGCTCATCATTAGTCTCCTCTGTTCTCATTTCTTTGCCCATACCTTTTTCTTCTAGTCAAATCTACTTTTCCTAGGGATTAGGAGGCACATATGGAACACTTAGGATGATGATGACAGAACATCATTAGCACCGGAGAGTGACAAAGGAAAGATTGCAGGACCATTTGTTTCTTCCCTCACAGTGGCACCTGTTAGGTCTATGTGCTGGAGTCAGTGTGTAAGTTGACTTCACACTTATATCTGTTAGTAGTTGTAATAGGATAGCTTCATATCCTAGGAGGTTTCAGGTATAGAGGAGAATAGCAGGATTCAGAAAGTGGCTTTGTCCACTGAAAAAGGGAGTATAGAGTGTGCTTTTAGAACAGACTGTGGTGCT